TCTAAGCATACATATAGACAGATAGACGGAACGACTATGTAGTGATAAGAAATTCTTTGCGTTAAATAATCCGTCATCCGACTTTATGTACAACGCTTAGAGATCTATAATTTTTTTTCTAGCTTATATCGCTTCTATTACACAATATAATATTAAAATAAATTCAAACAAAATTTTTCTGTGTATGAATTGCTTTTAAAATTTGAATCCGTTGAACACTATTTACGTTAAGACTGCTTTTGTGGCCTGCATAAAACTAAAAACGAACAATATATTTAAAAAAAACAAAAATGAGCCAAATTGTTTCAGACCCTATTGATAGAGATTAAACGATTAACATCTTTGTTGGAACTGGAACAAGAAGCTTTGTCCACGGGGAACCCTAATTATTTTGAGAACTCCTAAAAGCCTCCTTCGTGGGTCCATACAAACTCAGCAGAACTTATCTTGTTTCCTTTCTAATAAAATATCCAATCAAGAGAAAGAAAGGGCTCCAATCAAAGTTATAGAACATACCACGTCTTACTTGATTGAATCGATGCGAGGAACGAACTCAGAGGTAAACATTTTTACCATTCTATTTATATAAACATATATTATAAGCTTTTATAATGGTGCTCTCAGTATCCGGGGGCTTCTCTTAATTTCGTTTATTTCCGACTAACATAAGTTATACTATTCTGGACCTTCAAATAGCACCTTTTTATTGTTGTTTAAAACCATAGATTCCTCTCAGAAAAGTGTTAGATATCTAGGAAATAATTAGTCAAACAAATAATACTCAAGCTACGAATCGAAGGAGTTTAATTTGTTTCATATTATGTGATCTATCATGAAAGTTAATTAAGTATAAAACATTTTAGTGCATATAAAATGCCTTTTTTCGTGAATCTGCCATGCGGCCGTTGCAGTTGTTGAGGTATTTTTTTATAATAAAAAATATCATCTCTCACATAATTATGCAGCCTGAATTCCTCTCACTTTCTCTGTTGTGAGTGTGGTTATCACACAATTAAAAAAATAAGTTTTAAAACTGGGGTTCATTGCTCAGGATAACTGAGCAAAGCCATGTGACGTAAATAAATTGGATCCAAATTGTTTCCGCATCTCATTACGCGTTGCACGCCAAGCTCAATTGTTCACCAACTGCATGCAAAATCAATAGCTCGGCGGTTTGATGAAATATATTATTGTTTGAATGCCCGTAAGCTGTAATTACGTTGAATTATAGAATTTCATTTTATGCTATTCAAGATTAGATGCTATTGATATAAGAGAATCAGTATATGAGAGGCGATTGCATAATGTTTTGATTGTTCTTAATCGCTATTATACGTACAAAATTTATTATAAAAACAAATTCATATTTATATACATTCATGACATCTTTTTGAGTTGTTATAATTTTTACTTAAATACACAATTTTTTAGTTTTATCATCTTCACATTTCAGGATGTTGGAGTCCACTGCTGAACATAGGCCTCCCCTACAGACTGGTGCGAAGCACGATCCTGTGCCACCTGCATCCATCGACTTCCCGCACATTTGCACAGGTCGTCACTCCACTACCACTCATTATCAATTATAATTTTATCATATCTTCATTTATTTACTCATATAATACAAGTTCATTTTTTTTAACGAAGTGTTTTAGTTAGTTTTAATTCGAAGCAAATTAAGAACTTATGGAAAAGCTTTCATTACGACTAATATCTGCAAAGAGATCGAAATTTGCTTGAATGAAAGCAAGCGTTGTTTTTCATTTATTAACTTATTGAGCACCATCAGCACAAAACCGAAACGGTAATAGAAAAACTAAGTCAAACACGAGTTAGATGGAAATTAAATAAAAGTCGAAAGCTACTTTATTTGAGCAGTGAAAGTGCGAAAAAACAAAGTAAGGCATACTTTACAATACAAATAACATATAGGCATCATTATAATACAACTTAAAAACACAACACCCTTCAGAACTATAGATACACTTAACATATTCTCGTATTCGAACATATTATGACGTATATTTAGCATAATTTCTTAAGAAGACGTCTCGCTCAGAATAATTTATCCTCGCTTGCCGCTATAATTTAAATAAAGATACGCTTCAAATTTAAAAAGTTTAAGATGTACATTAGAAAGTTTTAAATATTCCTTATCTTTACTTTAATATTCGTTGTTACTAAATTCTTCAACTAATTCAAGTAGTCACATAACAAAGTTCATCTCATTGATCGTAGCCGATAATACCTTATTTTATAAAAGTGTGATTTTAAATAACGTGGTAGATAAGGAAATAATCCATTAGAAAAAAGATAACAATTTGTATACAATTATTTTAAATCATGTGTGTTTTATTGGAATCGGAGTGACCTCCAATTTCAAATATTGTAACTTTATAAAAATACACTTTAACAATGAAAGAACGCCTCCCAAACCAAGATAAACAATACTTGAGATTCACACAAAACAAAGACTCAAAAATAGCACTGTTTTATAGCATACTACAACATTAAAGCCATATTGAAATTCCATCCACGCCTCGGATTCGTACGGAAAGCTCAATCAACTAGGTGAATATGAAATCGATTAAATGACGCGGTTTATTAAAGTATTCATTTATTTGAGCATATTCCTCTTATAACAGGATGCCGTATCTAAAACACGGATGGCGTAACCAGTAATTTCCAGGAAGATTGTTACTTTAATAGCTAATATAATAACATAATAAAAATAAACTGTAAGGAGTAAGTATATGCTCTTCTCCCCGCAGCGTCCGTTGACTTTCTTTATACTTCCTAATCCTCTGGCGTTATTCGCTCCGACGACTTTATCGGGCTGTATTGTCTTAAATATGTACCTTGTTTTATATGTATTGTATATCATGTTATATATTTTATTGTTTTTTATTTATAAGGTGCATAAAGACAAAAAGAATAATTCTCGTTTCGTTTTCACTACCGCTTAAGTGTCATGCATGACACATAAGCGAAGATGAAAACAAAACTAGCGCTTAAACATTTTAGGTGTCCCTTAAGTCCCTTTATGATATTTGAGAAATTTGATTGAAGTCTGTTTCATGTCAGCGCCTACAGCAGTCGTCTGATTTAAACATATTCAAAGAGATTTACCATTAGCAATATGTTATATTGCTTAAAATGTAAGTAAAGTGAACGATACTAATGAAATTATTTCGAACATCTTCAGGATAAATGCTTGAATTCAGGGAAATATAAAAATTTATTGAATTAAAATAAATATAAGCCATTCATGCATTACGATAAAGACAAAACCCTATAAAGCACTCTCTAAGTTCCGCCATACAGTCGGGGCGGGTTTGGAGGACTTCTTTTCCTTCAGAAAATATCATCTAGCTAAAAATTTTTGAGATAGCAGAAAAACAGACTAAAATTAAAAAAAGCCGTAAGACAGATTTCACTACGCCTACTTGATACTCATACCATTTCTGAATTTATTCTATAACGTTCTATAATGTTTTAATGATCGTGTTTTAAGAAACTATCTTCGATATCGATCGAATTTACAAACACCTAAATACACAGACAATCTTTATCTAAAGATAATCGCCCGTATTTATTTTACTATTATTATTTCAATAACTGAAATTATCCAGAAACAACGTACTATACGAATGTGAAGTTCGTTTTAAAATACTTAAACTCGATTACATTACATAAAATACATTATTTACCCCAGCTGTCGTCGTAATGCATGTACCGCAGTTATGTATTATGTTATGTATTATTACAGTTATGTATTATTTGTAGTTATGTATATGCTTGAATTATACATATAAACCTTCCTCTTGAATCACTCTATCTATTTAAGAAAACCGCATCAAAATCCGTTGCGTAGTTTTAAAGATCTAAGCATATATAGGGACAGACAGACAGCGGGACGACTTTGTTTTATACTATGTAGTGAAGTGTCGAGATTTTGGGGTATCGGCCGCTCGGCTCAGTTGTTTGGAAATTCAAGCCGCTTTACCTAGAGGAAGTAGGCTCGATTTCTGGGAACGCCAAAAATTTTTATTTATTAAACTCACATTTTATATTCCATCTCGAGTTCTATCTAAAAAAAGTAAAGTAACAGCCTATACATATCCCACTGCTGGGCAAAGGCCTCCTCTATACAGAGGGTATCAGGGCATAGTCCACCACGCGGCCCCACTGCGGATTGGCGGACTTCACATATTTTCGAAATATATTTTTTTTGGTTATTATTTCAAAAATATGCAGGTTTCCTCACGATGTTTACCTTCACCACGGAGCACGTGATAAGTCAGCACTTAAAGTTAAAAACATCATTGGTGCCGGCAACGGGGGTCGAACTCAGGTTGCTCGAGTATATTGAATTAAAGGGGAGCGCCCGGACACTGAGCTATCACGGCTCTTCGGCGTTCTAACTAGCACTAAAAATAAAAAACAACCCTCAATTTCAAAGGTGTCGACATACTGTAAAGCTGCTCACTAGGTGGTACCTAGCATTAGTGTCCATGCAAGCCAACAAACGTTTTTAAACTCATATTCCTACCATCTCAAGTTTTGAAGTTATGATATTTTAGACTTCCAAATTTTTTCGGCTTCGGTGAAGAGTTCACTCAATATTTTGCGCATTACAGCAATCTTATAGTTTTGTGATTTTACTCTGAAGTAGCGTTATCAATAAGTAGCAGCGGTTATCAATTAACATTACCGCCAGCTCGCTTACCACATTTCCATATAAAAAAATAATCAAAAACCCGAATAACCTTGTTGCGTTTGTCTACCTCACAGTAGTAATAAGAATTATTTTTAACGAAACAACATACTAATTAAGTAATAACGAAAAAACTACTTTATGAAAATACAGTATAATATATTATTTTCTTATTGAATTACAAATACTAGGAACTTTTTACAATTAATTGTTATCCTAACTTAACACTATATTTACAACATTTTTATTCGAAGATCTGTAAAGATTTCTAGTCTCACCACTACATGGCTTTAATGCTTTGTTTTATATTACTATTTAAAACGTTGTCAGTTTTCTTCTTTTCATCATTCAGTGGTGTTACCATAACCTGAAAAGAAAATACAAGAATAAGTAATACTTGACACATGTTTAAGTTAATATACACGAGAAAGAGAAGCAAGGGTTGTACTCTATTAAAGACTTGTTCGTGTTATATTGTATAAGTTCGTAGTAAAGTCTGAGTCCGTACCTCTAGTTTTATATTCGTAACTGGTATTCTTTCAATTAACTCGGCGAGCACTCTATCTAAGGTATCGACGAGCCTGTCGGCATCTTGAGTGGAAAATACCATGGGCGGTTTGAATTTCAGTACGTTGCTGTCTGGTCCGTCGCGGCTGATGAGGATTTTTTCTTCCCGCATTCTGTATTATGATGAAAACATTAATAATTTACTCTCGGAAATGCTAGAAATGTCTCTGATCCTTCGTTGATTTCCAGCGCATAAATTAATTTCCAATATTCGAACATCTCATGTACGAAATCTTATACACAAATCTAATGTATTTTACTTTAATTAATTAATATAGTAAGCTAGCGAAACCCGTGCGCCGTCTTCAAAAATTCTTTTATAAAATATTGACAGATACGAATTGTTTTAAGAATTCTTCGAAGAGTATGATATCAGAAAAAACTTAATAAAAACTAAACCAATAACTAGCAGACTTGATGGCTCAAGATCGTGCTTCGTCGCAGTCTGTCGAAGAGGCCCATGTTCAGTAGTGGCTCAAATGATGATGATGAAAAGTCTTAATGTGAATGTTATTAGAAACCTATCATAAAATTCCCACAATGTCTATGAATGTTTTCTATGTAGTGAAGTAGTTCGGTAAAGGAAATAGGAGGAATAGGAACACAAAGCCAATACCGATTAACGACGTGTTTCGCTTCCGCCGTAGCCGGGGTCCTCCTCTCCCTGTCCGTCACTAGTTCCACGCCGACGAACAGTCCCCTGCCTCTGACGTCACCGATTAACCGGTGCTTGTGCCTCAACTTTTCACAGCGCGCGAGCAAGTGATTGCCGACTCTCTCCGCCCGCTCTAAGAGCCTCTCTTCCTCTATGACGTCGAGTACAGCGTTCGCTATTGCGCACGACACAGGATTGCCGCCATACTAAAATGAAAGAAACGCGAAAAACTTCAAAATAACGATTAAAACAAACAAATATATAAGTAAGTTTCCACTTGAAACATTTCTAGTCTCGTCTAGCCAAATATTAATTAAGAGTGTTTTTTTAATGTATAGTTTCAAAGACTTAATGTTTCTTCTGTTGTATTTTTTTCATTAGCTAATGATGTATGCTTAGTCGTGACGTTAAATTCTTAATATGACGTATATTTTTTATTTCGTAACCAATAACTCGACGTACGTATTTGATTTAAAACAATAAACCTCATATTAGAACTATTACGTTATTATCTCGCACCGAAAATTATATGCGACCGTTATTACAAGTATCGGGAAAATAATTTGAAAAGTATGATAAATTGTGTTTTCTAAATTTATTTTTCATAAGCTGTAATATGAATAACTGAAGTTCAAATTAATGTTCTCCGAAATTTTTATAATTGGCATTAAAGTTAAATTACATAAAGTAATATGAGTTGAGTAAACTTTTGGAAAAGTTATATCGCTTTAAACTTTCCAAATGAGCCATACCGCGATATTTCAAAAAATTAAAAGTATTAAATTATATTTGATAGCAGTAGTTTCATATTTAGTCGAAATTTTAAAGATTCTTGCGCGTAATTAGTCCACTTGCAACATTAGTAACTGCTTTTGTCACGTTGCAACAGAACATAATTTAATTTTGGATCTTTGTGTAACAAGCTTTATGATGCATGACTTACTGACATAAAGTCGCTCGTAAATGGAGCGGCAAAGTAAAATTTGGTGTTGCATTTCAGCATATTTTTCTCGAGTGAATCTGTACGAGCGAACTTCTACGAGTAACTTGTGTAACATATTAAAAAAGTTTCCATACAATTGATTCAATATACTATCTAGTTCGATGCGAAGTCGAAAATTGGCTTTGATATTTCTCCAACCTCTTTGTTAGACTGCCTCTTGAATATATTTCTAACTTGCGGGCGATGACTTTATGTTCGTTACACATTGTAAAGTTGAATAGTGTCTACGTTCTATATAAAATAAAGTTGGATATGACACAAATTGACTCTCATCATTATAAACATTTGCTATCTGCCCGTATTTCGCTGACGTAAACTTCGAGACTACTCCAAAGAACAAGTTAACTAGTGGCCGGTGGAAAATATGTTTTCTTTAATAGAAAACTACATCGAAACTTCAACATTTTTCCTTCTTTTGACTAAATGATGGAAGTTTCAAAGTGGCTCGTTACTGACGCTGCTCCTTACTTATACTTTGTTTGGCATTCTAATGAAGGACGGAGTAAAAGTTCGGCCTTAAAGACGTTAAACCTCTGAATGTTCAAGTAATCTTGAAACAAATCTTAAATTATAAACTATAATTTCATGCTTACAATAACAGTATATAAATAGTTATAGAGTTTATGATACTTTTAAGTCTAATAAAATGTTCTTGGGATTAAATAATGAATTATCTATTCATTGGCCTTACACAAATGATAAACATCATACCAAACGTAGAAAATTGTTTATAAATCACTCTGGCACGAACTTTGACTTTATTGTCTTGCCTTTTGTCTTATCGGAAGTTACGGGTTCAGTCCGGAAACTATTAAAGCTTCATCTGATATCGAACGCGTGGAAAAGTTTTCACGCTCTGGGTGGACCCTAAACTAATAGAGTTACGCAGGTAACCATGCGTGCACTGGTTATATGATGGGCTTGTCGGCTACGGGTCATCGAAGTTGGGTATGCGGACCAATACCCCGAGGAATGGCGACTGCATTATTAATCGGTCGCTAGGAGCAGTGAGGATGCGGGTGTATCTTATTGTTGTAGATCGGTTTCGCTGTCCTCGAGGGCGAACTATGTTATGTTCTTTGTTGGTACAACGTGTGTATCTACGTTTATCTAGGTGTACCTAGGTTTATCCGACGTATCCGGGGCACTTGTGTCCCCTTCAACGACTAGATTGATGAGAATGTTACGCGGGCGTCGACGTCTCTGTACAGTCTCGGGATCGGAATCGGGATATGCTTCGTTTCTTGCCAGACGCTTACCACCCGGGGGTTGGGACGAGGCTCGTGCCTTCACCTCAATGAAAAACTAACTGGCGGTTCTAATTTCGTTCTTTCACTTTCGATTTTAAACCAAAAAAAATGAAACCGATTAGTGGTTCCCAATTACCGTATTGAAGTATTCAACTCCAGTGTCCGCGAAGCTCTTGGCGATTTCAGGGGTCGTGATAACGGCTGCCACGGGGTGCCCGTTGCCCATAGGCTTGCCCATCGTCACGATATCGGGAACCACGTCCTGCGTCTCGAATGCCCACATGTGGGTGCCCACTCGACCGAAGCCCACTTGCACCTCATCGGCAATGCACACGCCGTCGGCCTCACGGACATACCTAAAATTATACATATACATCTAAACAAACGATCTCACTTCGAAACCTTAGTATGAAAAGCGACCGTAAAATATTTCGCCAAAAAGAACAAATGGCTAATATTCCGAATAGTACGTCTCGTTTTTCAAGCTAGAAAAAAATTTTAATCGATAGAGAAATGTTAATAATTAAATATTATATAAGTTATAATCTATGAAAACCACTAGATTATGAGGCAAAATTAACAAAGTTTTTAAATTTCATACAACTGAAATCCGTCATTACTGTGCGTCCATTATTCATTATAGACTATTATTTTAAGTTAAAAAACTTACGTTTTCACTTTTTACGTTGTAAGAAGACACAAATACACAGATATATCACAAAAACACAAGTTTCTACTTCATGAACATGTATTATTAACAATTTCTAATATTTAAAATTTGTGACTTAGGGTACACTTAATATCTCGAATATTAGGTTCAAAATGAGTCACAGATCCGACACAGAGTGATCCGACTCTGATAGGGTAGGTTAAAAGGTTAAGGCGGGAGCTAAGCTCCCGCCTTAGCCTTCGATGTTAGGTTTTTTTTTTTTTTTCCTTTAGTGTAACAGCACTTTTAGTATTTTTAAAGACTCTTTTTTAATAATGCGAAGGTTATAATTTGGAAAAGTGTGTGAATTCTTAAATTTATACATGTTGTCAAACACAAAATGGCGGATTTATTTAGTGAAAATAACAAGTTTTAAATATTTTTTTTTATTAAAAGTAAGTGTTTGCCTTGGTTTTCACGTATGTATCTAATATTTAATTATTAACATTTCTCTATCGATAAAAATTTTTTTCTAGCTTGAAAAACGAGACGTACTGTTCGGAATTTTTACCAAAAATGTATTCATACATTTATGTATAGGCAATGGAAAGGTATAATAGGCATTAAAAAAATATATGTAACTGAAACAATTTTGCTTCACAAATATTTTTGTCAACTAAGCAAGACCTTCAGCATTGGCTTTTGTTAATTTCTGTACATTCCCTGGCGATGTAATCAAAAGTCGACGTCAAATGTGAAGAGATAAATACGATCGTTTAAAATTGGTGTGGCTTTTTCGATAAAGTATATTTTTCTCGTCCAAAGTAAAATGGGGAAAAATGTTAAATAAAAACTGATGTTTATTAAAAATATAATTTTGAGGCGTAACAAATATTTGCGTAATGGCCTATAAATAATGCATGTTTATTAACTATGATAATAATATCGCAACTACATACTCCGTAATTTTAAACATGATGTACCGTTAAATTAATTTCACCACTATTAAAATATAAGTAATTTAATAAATATCTTTATATATAATAATAAATATCTTTATGTATAATTCTACTGTACGTGTGTATGTCACCGAACCCCTCCTAAACGGCTTGACCGATTTTAATGAAATTTTTTGTGTTTTTAGGTCGATTCGAGATTGGTTAAGATTCTCATTTTGGTACACTACATTTTTTTTATATTGCTAAGCTGTCGAATATGTCGTGTGTACAGGACAACTCAGGATACAGCTCAGGAACAAACAGGATTTATAAAAATAACTATCGAGCAGTTATAAAGACATATTTTTCTAGGTTCTTTCGTAAGGGAAAATTCATCCAAAGGGATTGATTAGCAATAACTTTATTGTATATCTACCTCCATTAAGTGATTAGAACGGCGACTAAAAGGAGACAGTTTGCGATAACCTTTTTAAAATTCAAATCATTTGTGTTTGTCTGTTTGTACAAAGTGTCTGTCTGTTGCTCCGTGTAGAAATAACCTAGAGTATAAATTTACCCACGCAAATAAAGTCGGTGGCATCCACTAGTATCCAATCGTATTCATTGCTTATTATAGATACTGTCATAATAGCAAATATGTACATTAAAATTATCACGGCAATGGAGAATATGCGAATGTGTCGTGAATTACGTCTACTGCTAATGAACGATGCGATAATTATTATAAACATGTTAATGATAACAGTGATAATTTTAATTCAACACGAGTAGATCACGACTTTGAACAATTTTTGTATAGGCCATTCGATGTACAGTGTACCCAGATAAAAGATAAGACAGATATAAGATAGTATAATATGGACTTCGGACCTATTACTATTATAGCTTTTTTGGAATAATACTATTATAAGCTAGAGCTAGACATAATAAGCTCGTAAGTTATAAGAATTCGTAGTCATTGGTTAATATTGCATTTCATTATAGAGTTGCAAACTCGACAGTGGTGACTGGAAAAATAGATTAAGTATAAGGGACGTAAAAACTGGCCAAGTGCGAGTCGGACTCGCGCACTAAGGGTTCCGTAGCATTATCTATAAAGACTGCAAAAAAAATCATGTCTGTTGTATGGGAACACCACTTAAATATTTTTTATTCTGTTTTTTAGTATTTGTTGTTTTAGCAGCAAGAGATATACTTGATTTGTGAAAATTTCAACTATCTAACTATTGCGGTTCATGAGATACAGCATGGTGACAGACGGTAAGACAGACAGACAGCGGAGTCTTAGTAATAGGGTCCCGTTTTAGCCTTTGGATACGGAACCCAAAAAAGGAACCAAAGAAGCAGTTTCCTTTATTCGGACTTAAGTCTAACATTCGTGCACGGTTCACTTTCAAGCTAATGTATCAACTTAATAAGCTCGTTTATACTGAAAAACAATAGGGTTTAATAATTTTTGTTTAGAAGTTTGTTTGTTAGTATATTACTCACGGTAAGCACAATTTATTAAAGGAAACAAAATAAACCGACTTTATTCAAAAAAAAAAGTAATTATTGCTTTATTTTTTGGAGCACCGTATTTAAATATTCTATGTCATTCCGACAGCTGAGGCGAATCTAATGACACTTCATGTGTTAAAATTCATCAAAAAATTTCTTCTTCAGCAGTCCAGTAAAATTATTTAAACGCGATGTAATCGGTAGTTTTATTTAACCAATACATGGTTAAATAAAACTAGGTATTCGCGTAAATACTAGCAATCCTATTTAAAAACAATGGATACCACTCTCAACTAAGGTAACCATTACAGATAACCGACGAAATGTTCGCAAAATACCATTATCAGTGACCGAATAAGTTATACAATTATGTGTAAGCAAGTCTTTATCAATAAAAAGTATCTTATTTATAGGAATAACGGTTTTCTGTTATCTTTCATTGAAACAACTTATCAGTAGATGAAATTATCATACAAAGCAATTGTAAAGGAAAGTATTTTCTTATGAAAACTTCATTCTACTTGTCTTATTTTATTCAACACCGGTAAGCATATGCCTTAAATTGTTTTAATCCTTAAATTTAATGAACAATTATGAGATTGTTAGAATTCGTAAAGCTTATTCCTGTGTCTAATTAATCGCATGGTGGACTAAGCTCAAATATCCTCTTTACAGTGGAGGCCTTAGCCCAGAAGTGAGATATACATAAATAGGTTGTTACTTGGCTTTACTTTTATGTTATCCTTTAAACGAGCAATTCTTGTATATATATATATCTTATCCTTTAAACGAGCAATTCTTGTATATATATATATCTTATCCTTTAAACGAGCAATTCTTGTATATATATATATAATCGGAATCTCGGAAACGGCTCCAGCGATTTTCATGAAATTTAGTATGTGCATAAATTCGGGGGCGAAAAATCGATCTAGCTAGGTTTCATTTTTAGAAAATGTCCTTTTATCCCTGTTTTCAGGGAATGAAAAATATAATTCGAATATTACGGTAAATTTCGCTGCAAGAGAAAATGTCATAATAGCTCTGTCGGTAATCGGGCGGCCCCAAAACAGACGGCCGTGGTTCGCGTCACGATCATCTACACATTTATTTTTTTACTTTTTTTACGATTCCAGATTATTGTTTTCTTTATTTTTAATTTTTTGTCGATTTGTTATTTTGTTTTTTTTCCCCTTTTTTTTAAAGTTCTTTCTTTTGTGAAAAACATCAGTTCATATTTTCTTATTATTACGTCGGTAAGATCGAAAAATATTATGCATATTTCATTACTCAGTAATTTGTATCTAAATGTAATTTCCAAAAAAAAAACAAACCGAGCAAAGCTCGGTCCTCCGGGTACTAATAACTTATAAGGCAAACATTTTGTTCGCTTTAATATCAAACCTTAAACGTTTTTACACAAAATTGGTTTGTCAAAACGTCAGTTTGACGGGGCGGCGTAAATATTTTAGTTATCGCCGCGAGGAAAGCGTACAACGTGTCACGCTTCACACGCCACGTGCCACGTTCGCGAAATTGTTTTTGCGAAATAAGCGTAAAAGAAGTTTTCCTATAAAAGGTCGACGTTCCGAATTAAGGCGTTCATCCTCCTAGCGGTCGTAAAAGGATGTACTCACTCAAAAACACGTTTCAGGTAGCCGTCCGGCGGGATTATCTGTCCGCCGCAACTTTGCAAACTCTCCGCTATGAAGGCGCAGACGCCACCGCTCCTGTCCGTGATCTCTTTGCAAATCTTGCCAACTTCCTCAGCGTACATCTGACCGAGCGCCTCTTCCGATTGGGAGTCCTTTGGCAAAGTGTACTTTCCCCGATACGTGTCAGGAACTGGTGCCTGTGGTTTAACGTATCGATGAGAAATAGTTAAAAGTTTAACCGTGAAAGAAATGCTATATTTGTAATAGTTACTCCTGAGAAAAATTAAAAGACACAGAGAAAGAAACAAAAAAAAGCAATGACTATCTTTATCATAGATTTTATGATATTACGAATAGTAAATTGATTATACTTTAAGTCATGTCATTAATTGCCTTTTTCGTTATGTTTATTTTATTACTAGGCCCGGTAATTGTTATTGCACGTATTCAAAACACCCAAATTGATTGCACGGGCAAGTAGATTGCCGAATTTATTATGTTAAAGTCAAATTTATTCGGCATTAGGTTAATATTAGCTTTGAACATACGAGCCCGTCTCAGACCGCGAAGGGTTTTATCTCATTTATGTAGGTCGCATAACACGTAAATCGATAAAGGGCGAATATCACAATTAATCGTGTCCGAAGAAGATTGCTTTAATTGAGGTCGAATCATTTGATATGATGCGAGCGGACGTTACTTAATATGATATGAGAGCTCGTCGGGAAGGTATTCTAATAGGGTACATGGAGGATCGCGTCCGTTGTTAAGCGGCGGGAGTTAGTTACATGGCCAACTCACCACGTGAACCCACTCTGGCTTCTCTGGCCCTCCTGGTAGGTTCAGTTTGTAGGGAGAGACATCAATCATAGACGTTAGGTGCCCATGATACGCGCTGTAACAAACAGGCGCTAGTAGCACCTAAGAAACTTCGAGCGTCTCGAAGTAACGCAAATACCATACACTCTCACAACACACTTTGTTGGCGAAACTTTTCCTTGGTCCTTAACAATGTTACGCGATCACTAACTTGCGGAAATTATCTAAATTTAATGAGGTTTAGAACCACAGGGAACACTAGATTGCGGGGCGTCAATAAGTTATTCATAGAGTTTATTGACTGGTAATAATTGACATGATTGTTTTCATTGATCTAGGTCAAAGCGTGTCGTATGTTCATTTAGCAAGACAAAGTAACATTGCACTTGTTTGACTTCGTCTGTGCCTTTAGAAGGGGGCACAATACGTACTAATTCAACGCCAACAACCTTTCATGTTCATTCACATCAAATGTCGCGTTATCGCCAATAGTATTTGCACGCATCAAGCAAGTATCAAGACAACAAAAAACACTCACTGGTCTAGAGTGATGACGTCATTCCTCTTCGTGTGGACCCTGGCCAATCTTAGCGCGAGGTCATTGGCCTCTGAACCGGAGTTGACGAAGAAGCAGACGGAAAGGCGTTCGGGCATGGTCTTCACCAGCCTCTCCGCCAATATCACCAACTCGTCGTGGAGATATCGGTTGTTGGTCGATATAAGTGACATCTGATTCCTGCCCGCTTCAACCACATGGGGATGGCAATGTCCAACTGTGTACAAGAAATGAATGCCATTACGTTTGAAAAAAAATAATGCAGATGTTAGAAATTTAAATTGTTTATAGTGCTAGTCTTTGCACTTAAGATTGAACATTAAAATATGTACATCTGATTCCTGTCCCGCTGGGAATCGAACCCACTTCACATTCGCGGGGGATGGCAATGAGTCCAACAACGTAACGTCCACATTGTTTTCTTAGCAAATGAATGCCATCTACGTTTCCTTTACAGCATACAAACAACTTCGAAAAAAATAATCGCAGCCATTGCTTTTTTAGAAATTTAAATGTTTATTTAATCTTTGCTGCGACATACGAAAAGATTGTCGCCGCTGTGGGAATGGAACCCACGTCTTCGGCATTCGCGGCCTGACGCTCTAGCCACTGAGCTAAACGGCTGATTACCACACCGACGATTTAAATTGTTTATTCAAATTAAATTTGGAATTGAACTACTTACGCAGATTACAAGTATAATTTAGTAGGAAAGATAGCCATTTTATTACGCACATAATAACATACGGAATTAGAAACATTTTTTCTAATTACATACGTGATTCGTGTGCAGAATCATTCATATCACTACGTGATATGCTACTCCGAAACAAAACCATGTTTTTTTTTAATTATTTATAGGTTCACTATTATATCGCAGTATCAATTTTTTTTATTATTGTTACGTTACTAAATCTATTTTTTTACGCGAAAGACTCGTATATCTTCACTTTCATTCCACGTTTAAACTAAAATATAAATATACCAACCATGTGCAACGTTATTGATGCAATCTAGATATCTTTCGCCCGTCTCGTCATACATGAACTGGGCAATGCCGCGAACGATTTTCAGTGGGGACGAACGGAAAAACAACTGACAGGCGGCTCTGAAACAAATTTACCGTCATCCAACTCCACCCAACTGACGTTCGACTATAACATATTAGGCACCATTATGGGTAACAAATCGACACGTACGGCTGCCTCGGCGGCTTGAAAAGTCTTTGTCTGCTGTTAAACGTTTAACATCTATATTAATGCCTGAGGCGGAAACATTGTATCCCTTTTTAGAATATTGCGCACGGAGGAATATTAGGATATTCGACAAAAGTGCAACAAGCTTTAATTGCTTAAATATAAATTATAACGAAATGGGTAAAATGAAATAGAACATAATATTCTTTGTTTACATTCATACTATTAAAAAATTATAACCAGTTATCAAACATTTGCATAATACCCAATTACTGTCGGATTTCGACCACTCTATAAATATTATTAGATACCTACATACGAGTTTTCTAATAAGAGTTATATTTACTTACCCAACATGTTTTTCACGCAACTTAATGGTTTCAGATTTTGGCATAGATTGTAGGTAAGCCATTTTTATTGTTTTATCTGAAAGAAAAATTTGAATTTCACATTTGCTCTTAGCACCATGGATAAAAATGAACATCTGTCTAAATTACATCAAATGGAACCGAGTTTTATTCCTTAAGTGGTACCATTTATAAAATCCACTTAAAAATAATATTAACCAATCACTTTATATCCACCCATCGTTTGAAAATGGAGAAAATTTTTCAAAAAGAGAAATTGCCGCCGCGAGCGAACAATTTCATTTTGTCATTCTAATTCCATTGTCTCCCCGTGATGTAGGACGATAAATTTTTAAAAAGACAGAATAAATCAAACAGACTACTAAGTAATTCTCTAGCGGTCGGTTTCGTTTCTCGAACAAAGTTAAAATCGATTTATGCAAATCGTTCAGTTGTCGATCGCAATAAAACGTCGGTAATAAAATTGTGGTTTTTTGCCGTTTTTCTGTATTAAGTGGGATATTGGAAAACTGGAATTCAATGCCAGTTTGGGAAAGAAAAAGATTCAAATGAGATTGAGCAGTTTGCCTGGGTAAAGACCTCGCTTTAAATAAGGATTTCCGCTTCGGCAACTCCCAACTTGGGCTAGCGTTTATCTGACATAGTTTTAAATAAGTTAAAAGATGCGCGGATAGCATTCCGATCGAGGATTTGTACTTACGACGGAACACCGTTAAAATAAATTCAAAAGGCAATGAATTGTTAAAACGCCATAAACACCTTATAATCGCTCTTATCTCGCTCCTAACGGAAGGATATAACACTAATCGTAGAGTGGTGACGGAACGTTTGCGTACTCTATGTACGTAGAAAATCTAAAAATATATCCTTATCAAGGTTTCCTATAACCTTGAAACGTATAATGTATCACTTACCCCGGTCGTGGGTGTGTTACCGAGTGGTTTTGTTAAGAGAGGTTAGTGCGCGTCACGTGCGGCGCCTGAGCAAGTTATGCTGACGGCGATCTCGTGCCGATTGATTTTATAGAAGCGGGCGGGCAGAGCACGCCCCCGCGGGGGCCAATCGCGGCACATTAGCGCATCGCTATCGCTGCTGATAAGTGAGCATGATGACAAAAGTCGGCGACCACGCGGCTCCAATCACGCCGGCATGGTGCGAGCGCATGCTTGTTAAGGGGAAGCCACTGCAACCACTCGACTGACGCGATACAGGCATATGGCCGGGCAAACATTTGCAGCTCGTATCAACGAGAATAATATGGGGGGGAAGAATAATAATTCAGTTACATCAGAGCGTTGTGATGTAACTGTAAGTATCTAATTGCTATGCATGAAGATTTTTTGCTAGGCGTGACTGACGGGACCCCGGTTACCTCACTCGCCAGAAGGCCAAAGGTATAAATAAATAATTTCATGCCGGTCTTTTGTCAATTGTCCAATTCACGCAGAGAATAAATAGTGCAGGTTCGCTTTTTCAAAAAAAAATGTTAATCCAGTTTTCTTCTTCTCCTCCCTACCCATGAATGTCAGAAATATTAGCAAAAAAAATATTACTTCGAATAAAAAAAAATATTTACAGCAAAAAACAAATCGATATTTAACTATTCAGAAACATAAGGAATATCGATGAATTTTAACAAAATTTTTTCCGTCCATTACCATTTATCACCCAAGCAATTATGACGCAAGTGTGAATAACGAAACGGTCGCCACATAAACAGTCGATATTAGCGAAACGCAGAACACTACTGTCCGATATTACAGAAAAATTTATAACAATATATGATACTGACATTTCGTTTTTTTATCAAAACGAGTTCTCTTTCCATTTAATTCGGTAAGTAGTTGGGATTTCGCGACATAAAAACGTAATATTCCCAGTCGAAACTTGCCTCCCGGCCAAGTTTTACTTGTTACCTTCGCCACGGTGAAACTTTTTCTCCTTTAAACGTACGCTCCTCTTTCTTCGGACTTATTTTTTAAGGATATTTTCTCTCCTGTGTTCCGTTCCACTACTTCGCACTCGCTCATGTCTTTCGACATCTACAATAAAAGTTATCGATTTAATTACATAAATATATCGGCGCACAATAAATGGCTTTACGTTTTACGCGTCGTACATAAATATCTGAGATCACGGTGTTAAACAGTGCAAAAATCTGGTCTATATTTCTAATTATCATCAAGTCGTTATTTACTAACTTACTTGCCCCGGGCTCGCTCGCGTAGACGAATTTAGTCACATTTTTGTACTATTATTTAGATTCATATATATTGCAGGAATTTCTTTGTAAGAAGTCTATTAAAAAGCAAATTACTTCAGCTGTTAATTACGTTTTTTTCTACAAATATAGAGATGTCGACATTTAAGTTATTAAGCCGGATAGACAGACAGCGGAGTCTTAGTAATAGGGTACGGAACCCTAAAAGCAATATCAAAACAGTACAAAGTTTAGGTGCAACATAAGATTAAGGGCGAAACAATTTTTCGAAACCACATAAGATTCTTGCTGTCCAAATAAGTTATCGATAACCAATTGCCAAAATATTGCGCCTCAGCATTCTTTATACAATTAATTAACACTGTTTCAAGTTATAAAAAAATGAAAGCAGCTAGAATGACACAATTCACTTATAAGAAAGTTCCATTGTAACAAATCTTTTTCTCCGAGCAAGAATTGAAAGTCCATTCTTAAAAGTTCACTTTCTCCTTAATAGGCTACATATATTAAATTGGGCCTTTTTCCATAAGAAAGTATGGAATTAAACCTAATCCCGATAATACGGTCAATATCGCATTGGACCTTTTTTTAATTATTTCCCATACTTTATTGGAAAACATATAAATATTTGAGCAAAAATATATTTGGAAATGAAATTAGGGAATTTACAGATCTGTTAACATAAAGAGTCGGTTTTATGTGTTATTTCGTAAAATGTGATATCGATGGATATTTTAATAAACAAGATAATAAAATTTTGTGATAATTTTCTTAAGAGCCCTATGATAGTTAGACAGTTGAAATTTTCACATATAATGTTCTATTGTCGCTATAATAAAAAATACAAAAAACAGAATAAATAATAATTTAAGTGGAGCTCTAAAACAACAGACATGATTCATTTGCCGTTTTTATAGATGATGGTACGGAACCCTTCGTGCGCGAGTCCGACTCTCACTTGACCGGTTTTTAATACTTTAGTCAGTGGTAATGGAAAAAATTGTGAGGAAAAAAATATTTTGATGATATGTAAAGTTCACAACCTGTTACTTTACTTTTTTTACTTTACGTTTTATGTAAAAAATTGGCAAACGAGTAGGCGTTTCTCTTGTTGTTCATTAATTTTATCCATGTCCTTGATTACCGCCATTCATGAACATCCACAACACCTGAGGGGTGGATGGTGCGTACCAACCTTTAAAAACAGCCCCGGTTATTGTACTAAAGAAAATGTTACAACGACCTCACGGAAGACCGGCGTGAAGTGTAACACTTCCATTACACTTCTGCGCTTCGTCTGATGAGTGAGGTAACCGGAGCCCACTTTATGAAAAGGTGGCAACGCATCTGCAACCCTACGGGTGTTGCAAACGTCCATGCGCGGTCATCACTTAATATCAGGTTAACCACCATCTCGCTTTCCATCTGTCGGAACATAGAAAAAAATCTTATCTCCCCTGATGAGCCTGCCCATCCGTGCAACAGTGGAAGCTATTGCGTGGCCCACAGATGTCATTGTCTGCCTTGACATGTTGTGTAACATCATATTCTTTTTCTCCATTATTATAATCTGATGATAAACTAAGAAAAATAATCTCTAATTTATTGATTATTGAGTACTATAAAAAATTAAAAAGTAAAGTAACAGCCTAGTAAATTAAAGGCCTCCTCAGTAAAGAGGGTATCAGGGCATAGTCCACCATGCGACCCCACTGCGGATTGGCGGACTTCACATATTTTCGAAATATTGTTTTATTATAACTTCGAAAATATGCAGGTTCGCTCAGGATGTTTTCCTTCACCGATGAGCATGTGATAAGTGAGCACTTAAAATTAACAATTTCATTGGTGCTGGCACCGGGGATGGAACTATGGTTGCTTGAGCTTGAATCAAAGGGGAGCCTGGACACTGAGCTATCGCGGCTATAAGAATTCATTTAATTAAGAATATCAAGAAATTAAAGGCGTATAATAAATTGTCGGATATAACTCAAACATTTACTTCAGCTATTCAGTTTCGCGTTTGTTCAAGAAACGTGTCGAGGTTTGCGGTTAAACCTTCCTGTATATCTAATTTCATCGCTTTGGTTTTAAACTCATTTACTTGGCAGATAAAACTGTCGCCTCGATGATTATTTGTTTTACATTTTAAATATATATAAAAGTATCAGCCTAAATCTGTCCCTGTGCTGGGCAAAGGCCTCCTCTATACATAGGGTATCAGGGCAAAGTCCACCACGCGACCCCACAGCGGATTGGCGTACTTCACATATCTTCGAAATATATTTTTTTGTTATAATTTAGATAATAAGCAGGTTTCCTCACGACGTGATAGAACACTAGCCATTTCAGTGCCGGCACCGGGGATCGAACTCTGGCTGCTAGAGTAAATTGAATTAAAGGCAAGCGCCCGCACAATGAGCTCACACATCACAGCGCAATGAATGTACTGAAATAAAAACGTAAGCTGAACTATCAATGTTCGACAGATATTTTTTAAATTACTTTTGTTTTACTTACGATTTGTTCAAACGACATAATGATAAAATGCAGCTCAGTCGAACATTAAGTACCCTAAAGATAAAATATAAGATAAAAAATTCTTTAAGTCGATAACTGAGGACAATAAAAATGTTAATCGCTTTCTTAAATCGACTTGCATATTGAAACGATTATAATCAGCGGTAAATGTGTGTTTGTAATAAAATATATACTGTATATACTCTGTTTTGATATGAAGAATATATATAGTAAGAGTTAGAAAGTCAAAATGAAGTTAGCACCACACTAATCACAACTTGCATAACTTCTAAAGGTGTTGAT